AAAACCCTAAACCCTAAACCCTAAAACCCTAAACCCTAACAATGGTTGTGGTGCTTCTTCGGTCGTCTTCCGGAGCACAAGCTCGCTGCGCGCAACCAAGGCTAGCGATACAAAACTCAACACCCGTCCCAGAGACCCTGGTAACCTCGTAACGAAGAGATTTAGATAGGGTTTAGGGTTTAAGAGTAGAGCTCAAAACTGCAGTAAGGATCCCCTCTATACTCTCAGATATAATTCCTACTCCTGATTCGATTCTTGATTAGGGTGTCTTGAAATCCCTGCATTCATCGAACTCCCAGACCAGCCAAGCCACAAACCCACAGCATGCCACCCATGTTTTCGAACCAATAAACCAACACAGAACCCGATTACAGGCACCCAGACTTTCTAGACGTTCTAAAACCCTGTAATTAAGCAGTGTACTTTGAATTGCACAGAGACCGTTAAGATGGTAGTTCAACTGGAGATCCTACGTTTGGGGGAAAGCCTTGAAGGTCTCGTCTAGGTCGTCGTGCTCATTGGCAGGCGGCTGGTTGATAGCCTGGTCAAGGACATTTAAAGGCACGGAAGAACACTTGTCCATTCCCCTTCGAAGGTGGGCAGGAAACATATTGGCTTTGGAAGCCCCATTACACGAAGCTGGCAGCAACAAAAAACAAGAAACTACAACCTGCTAGGCCGACTGAGGCAAACTCCCAAACATCCGAAGAGACAGCCAGGGTCAGGTATTCAGCACATAAGCAAGTTTTAAGTGTAAAGTGCTGCGTCTGATAAATGAAAAAAGATATCTTCAGAGATAAAGCCCTGAATATGAACGACTTGCGAACCCCAAACGTCCTAAACCTCACCAACACACCCTCAAGCCCTAAACCGTTCCCAGCTTTTCATAAGGATTTCTGTCGAAATGTTAGTATCCAGCACTTCAAGGACAAAGGGTTTTATATTCATCTGGAATCGACACCCCACCCTAAACCCTAAACCCCAAGCCATGAAGCCTAAACCCTAAACCCTAAACCCCAAGCCGTGAAGCCTTCAGGAGGTCCAAAAGCTGCATCTTGTCGATCGTCCGCTGGTTCTGGCCTCTAGTCTAGGCTTAGCTTAGCACCCGGTTTGGGTTTGAAGGTTCAACGTTGTAGGGTTTAGGGTCCAACGTTGTAGGGCTTAGGGTTTACGTGTACTTTTGCTTGCAATAAAAGTATCGTGCTTGTTACTCTTAATCACTGCTGCAGTAGTAGGCAGGTCCGGGGATCAACGCCTAACGCTAGCTGGGCGTCTCGAAAACCAAACACCCCAAAACCACACGACGCTATACACTGAACGATGATTGACCCCTTGTTAGTGTAACCTTCTTGTTATGTTACCATCCCTACTAGAATACATAGGTTTGGGGGTTGCATAAGCACGGGTCTGCTTGGAAAGGCCTCAGTGAAATGATCTAATGACAATCTCTTGCCCGCCGTGCGCCATGAAACGAATGAGCGAACCTTCGAATCCTCAGCATTTGGCGAGGTAAGGGCGGCAGAACTTCCAAGCTTGCTTTAGATGCCTAATCAATAGACAAATTCCCCGTTAAGAGCTGTGCGCCTCAGAAATCCTAAGCCACACTCATAGAGTTGACGTCTTCATAAAGTGAAAGCTGCACTTTCATATGCTGGCAAACTTCGAGCAAGCCCACATCCAAGAGAAAGACCGTAAGAGTTCCGGGCACCGAACCCCAAGCTTGCCAAGCGGCAGTACTGGTACCAAACCATTCTCAACACGGCCCGCTCGCCCACATCCGGACCTCAAGACTTGTGGTCAGCGGGGGATTAGAGAGGGTTTAGGGTTGTTTAGGGGTTAGGGTTTAGGAGATCAGGATTCGACATTTGAGTTGCCCCAAGCTGGATCAGCGTGAGGCAAAGTTGAAACAGGGACTACGTTGAACCCCTCGTTGAGTTTGACAAGCAGGAGGTATCAAAGGGTCCACAATAACCCAGCATGTTATATGTCACCCATGCATCCCTTAGATTAAGCTGTGTTTGAGACGTGCTTGGTTTCATGATGGGCCCGGCTGCATCCGTCAAGCCCAACAGCCTCTATAGGAACTGATTTGGCACAAGGAGCCTAATGATCAGAACGCTTGGGGACTACCCCAAGGTAGTGTTACTAAGAATTCAAACTTATGCGTTCTTCGGAAATGGGTAGTTCTCTAAATTAGGGCCCCTGTTGGGGTCCTTTTTATAAGGGTGCCGTACTATATTGGGACCTAAGAAGAGACCCTAATTTAGACAACTACCCAGGTGGTGACTTCACAATGCCTTGATTCAGGATCCATGGCCGGGAGCCCTGGAAGGGCTTGCAGGGGCAATGTAGATGCCTCAACACTATTGCTTAGGGCTCCTTTTTATAGTTCTGGTACGGTTGATGATGTAGATCCTGCATCACCCCTAAGAAGGAATGTACCGTAATTACCAGAGTTTAGGGTCCTGAAGGTAATGCAGGATTTATATCATCAACAGCTTACCACCAAAAACCCGACTCTAATCATCATTACCTCCCCTATGTTATTCGGGGTTTGGGGTATAGGGTCTCCCTGGGGATCCAAAAACCTACCCGTTTCATGGGCTATAACAGCTTCGGCCAAAACCTTAAAAGCACTGAAACCCCAAAACCCCAACCCCAAAGCCCCAGAACCCCCCAAACCCTAAAACCCTAGACAAAGGACTGGGGTTTTTCTTCGCGCTCTGAGTACACCTTTTTCAAGACGTCTTTGAGAGCTGCCGTGGCTCTACTAAGCCCCCAGCAACCACTAGTTTTTAGGGTTGAGGGGTTTAGGGTGAGGGGTTCAGGGGTGTAGGGTCTAGGGGCTTAGGGGTGTAGGGTTTAGGGGGATTAGGGGGATTAGGGTTCAGGGGCTTAGGGTTTATAAGGCTTAAGGGTTTGAGGGTTTGGGGTTTCCGGAAGGTTTAAGGTTTAGGTTTTGGGGTTTAGGGTTCAGGATAGACCTCAATGGAAGCCCTCGAACTAAACTCAAAACATGCGCACTACGGTTTAGGGTTCAGGGTTTAGGGTGTGGGGTTTAGGGAATATGCACACGACCCCGTCTGGAAGCTTGAACATCAGTATCCCTTTGCCCCTAGCACAAAAAAATTGGGGATCTCAGCACTACGAGTCCGCATTGCATGTTCCAACTTTCCCTAAACCCCTAGGCCCTAAACCCTAAACCCCTAAACCCCTAAACCCTAAACCCTGAACCCTAAACCCTAACCCCTAAACCCGAAACCCTAAACCCTAAATCCTAATATTTCTGATGCTCACTGCAAGGCAAGCCCCTTGGGGTTGAAGTACCTCATACCCGAATGGGTAGCTCTCTAAATTAGAGTCCCTAGGGGTTTAGGGTTTAGGGTTTGGTAGCTCCCCAAGATAGAGTCCCTTTACGGGTCCTTTTGCAAGGGTGTCGTACCATTTTGGGGACCTCAAGAGGGACCCTAATTTAGAGAAGTACCAAAAATACTATACTACTAATTTAGAGAAGTACCAAAAATACTATACTACTAATTTAGAGAAGTGCCAAAAATACTATACTACAAACCATGTATCCTGAACCTTCTGTGGACCCTTAACACCCCATATCAACCTATGAAACCCTTTACTGACCCTGATGGAACCCTATGAGCCTCCCGTACAACCAGATAAACCCCCAAGACAACCCTCTTGGTCCCTCTAAACCCGAAACCCCAAACCACAAAACCGTAAACCCCAAACCATAAACCCCTTAATTCCTTAAGCCAGAGGTAACTGGGAGGAGAGCCAAACCATTAAGGGTTTAGGGTTTAGGGCTTATTAACCCCTGAAATCCTTAAAGCAGAGGTAACTGGGAGGAGAGCCATCAAAGCCGTCAGATCTCTTTCGCTCCAACATGTGCCTCGTGCTGCTTTGGACGGGTTTAGGGTCAAGTTAAAGGAAACTACAGGTGGGGAGTTTAGGGTATATAGGGGCGTCGATAAGGTACATAGACCTTCTATAAGGCTCCTATAACGGTAACTACCCAGCTGAAAATGTCCTAGGTCAAGGCTGTGAGTCATGCAAGGGCTTTGTTGCTGAGGGCATTGAGAAAAGATTGCACTATAATGCTAACAGGAACCATGGAAATCAGGATTGGTAGACCATTCCCCCCGAACCCAAAGCCCTAAACCCCTAAACCCCGAAATCCTAAACCCCAAACCCCTAAACCCCAAAGCCCTAAACCCTAAGCCCAAAGCCCTAAACCCCAAAGCCCTAAACCCAAAACCCTAAACCCCAAAGCCCTAAACCCTAAACCCAAAGCCCTAAACCCAACCCAATACTCTTCAACCGCGCTCCGGCAGCATTGGATTTTGGAATTTTGAGCAATAGCCCGCTTTGTAAGTCTTAGGGTTTAGGGTTTAGGGGTTAGGGTTTAGGGGTTTAGGGTTTAGGCCCTACACCCTAAACCCTAACCCTAAACTTTAGGGTTTTCGGGTTTAGGGTTTAGATATCTTAAGATTGTCACATATCTGCTTCAGAGGGCTTGTGATCAGACAGGTTGCCAGGAGCTTACCTACATGAGCCAGTTCCAGAAGGTCTTGCCAAGATCCATCTACTAGAGTGCCCAAGTAATTAGGGTTTTCGGGTATTTTTTCTAGAATCACAGAAAAGTTCTAAATAAGGGGATGGTATTTGTATTCGTTCAGACCACCAAAACCTGCCCTTTACAATCGCGAGCCACTCAGGCCGCTACTGTCGCCAAGAGCAATTCGGCATGTCTCAAGCTGTTCAGGTGTAGCCGCATCGGTCTTGTTTCTCTGCGGGATTTTCTTGACCGGTTGGACCGGTTGTGAAAGAACAGCTTCTCTACAAGCAACGTGTTCGGCTGCCCCAGAACACATCGCAGCTTCTTCACAAATCTTCACAACAGCACATCAACCAGTGTTGCAAGAAGGCCGACCTGTACAGCTGATGGCAGTATTCCAAGCAACGGCACCCAGATGGAGCTATGAGTACTAGGCCACAAGGATCAGGTTATTGTGAAAGGTGTGCGGTGAGGCCGACCTCGATATGGTTCTCTTGAACGCAGTTCCCGACTCCTCCGGTTCCTCTAACTCCAGGAATGTGTTGTGGATCACAAGCGCCAGGGCTGGGGTAGTTGGCACCGGCCTGTGCAGGTGTCGCTGCATTCGGAGGCCCCGGTCGGTTCGAAAATGGGGCTTCGCATGCTCACTCATGCCTGGTGCCGCTTGACCCCCATTCGCACGCCGATATGCCGACTTCTGCAGCGTGTAAGCGTTGTAGAAGCGATCCTTCACACGTTGCCACTCATGGTCTGGAACTGCGCACTGGTAGTGCTGGAGCTCTTGTCCATCCAGGGACTGGTGCGCGTCCACATGCTCACCAAGCCTTTCCAAGAAGAGCATCAAATAGTCCTTTAGGCGCTGAGTACCCTAGCCCAAAAAGGGTTAACCTTTCAATTATGGTAGGATTATATAAGCTCCAAAAAAAGTTAAAGGTTACCTCTCAGCTACTAAGAGTCCGAAAGAAGGAAGCTGCCTTTGCCAACCATGCGGGGCTGGTAGCGGCACCAAGAAGCCAGGCCAGCTCGTCGGCCGGCATCGATGGTCGTCGCTTCCTCCATGTCTTCGGAACTCTCCTAAGCTGTTCAGTAAATGTTGGGGAAAAAGTACACACCTTTTTGGGTCAGTTATATTATAATTCGCCTCGGCCCCGGCCTTCCTATTCGGATTCCCTCTATTCCCCACCTCTAATCCCCTCCCCAGTGACCCCCACCCCACAAAGTTACCATCGCGGAGGGGGGGGGGGGTCCCTCTGTCTGAACCCATAAATGAGCCCCAAGGTCAGGCCCCCCCGCCCCCCCCGTTTTCTCTGACGTGGAGAATTCGCCT